GGACCCTAGACCCTAAACCCTAAGGGTTTCGGGTTTACTTGGAGGATCATGGGACTTAGTAACTAGGGTTATAAATAAGGTAGCTGTAACTATGACCCCAATTAGGGTACTTATAACCTTACTTACTAAACCCTAAACCCTAAACCCTAAACCCTAAACCCTAAACCCTAAACCCTAAAGCCCCTAAACCTTACTTGCTAAGTCCCATGATCCTCCAAGTAGGGTCTACGAGCCGAGGCATGACAATTTTAGGTGAAGCGGTCTTATGGTTTAGGGTTTTAGGGTTTAGGGTTTTAGGGTTTAGGGTTTAGGGTTTAGGGATTCTTTGCAAATCATGGGAGGTTTCCGGTTTAGGGTGTGGGCTGTAGCTGCAAGCTCGGTCGGACAGCTCTTTGCGGTGCGTAGTTCTGTTTCTGGTATGTTGCCATGTGTTTCGTGTGTTAGTTTCATATCACAGTTCCCGAAGTGCCGAAAACATCCAAATACGGCCGGCATGAGACCCCAGACACAAGTCCAGAAACCTGTCCTACACCACCCTCACTCGAACGTCTTGCTTCCGGCCCTAAATCTAGGACATTTTCAGGTGGGTGGTTACCGTTATAGGAGCCTTATAGAAGGTCTATATACCGTATAGAAGCCTTATAGAAGCCCTATAGACCCTAAACTCCCCACCTGCAGTTTCCCTTGACTAAACCCTATCTCAAGCCAGCCGCGCACTGCATCTGCAGCAGGACTCACTGCGTCGATCCCCGGTTTCTGTCTTTCGGAGGCCTCGTGCCTTCTTTCGAGCCTCGGGGATGTGTCAGGGAGTAGGGGTGAAGGGTCTAAGGTTTTATGGTTTTGGGGTTTAGGGCTAGGGGCTAGGGTCTAGGGTTCAGGGTTCAGGGTTCAGGGTTCAGGGTTCAGAGTTTAGGGTGTCAAGAATAGGTCAGTGCAAAGAAGCGTTTCTGGCAGCAGTCTGTTTCAGAAGATCGAGTGCGAACACATCTTGTCGCTGTAATATAGGGGCCTGAACAATTAGACTAGGGTCTTGGGGTATATTATACTATAGCTCTAATCAGGAACTGGCAATTATTTCGACGCCTTTACTACGGGCCCTTGAGGGTAAGCCAGAGCTTAAGATGTGTAATAACATAGAAACACCATTAGTTGATTCTAACTTAACTCCCTGTGCTCAGATTTGGGTTGGTTGACAGTAGCTTGAAGATGGTCTCTGTGTTCACGGTGGTCAAAGTTCGTGCCCAGGAAGGCGGCGGCGATGTAATCAGTCTGGCGTTGTTACCACAACTCTTCTTTCCCTAGGCCGAAAAGCCCTCGACTCTGTACCCCTACGAGCTGAGGTTGGGAATTGGGTAGATGTAAGCGCAGTGGCACCGGCTGGAGTAGTACTGTGCTGGTGGTGGAAGTAGTAATAGCAGTGAAAAGAATAGCAACATCAGCCTTTGCAGAATTATCACTACTATGAGAACTGTTGGACGTGTCGTTGATACTACTAGGAGTAGCAATGGTGATACTAGCAGCAATCACACTAGGCATGACAGTAACAGTGACAGGGGTAGTGATCGTCGTCGCAGTTGGTTTCCTAGTCGTAGTTCGAAGCGCAGTAGTCCATAGTATCTTACTAGTGCTGATGCGACAGCACTAACCCTAAACCCTAAACCCTAAACCCTAAACCCTAAGCTAAGTACCAAGGCGTCTGGCTTGCAGCGAGTGC